AGCTTTCCACACTTTGCGGAAACTGTTGACCACTACTCCTGTTCTCGCACAACCAGACATTGAGAAACCATTTGATGTGTTTTGCGACGCATCGAAAACTGGATTGGGCTGTGTTCTTATGCAAGAAAGGAGAGTCATTGCTTATGCCTCATGTCAATTGAGAAAGCACGAGGTCAACTATCCAACACATGATCTTGAACTTGCTGCAGTTGTGCATGCCTTAAAAATTTGGAGACATTATCTACTTGGTAATGTGTGCAACATTTTCACAGATCACAAGAGTCTCAAGTACATCTTTACCCAACCAGAGTTGAATATGAGACAACGAAGATGGTTGGAATTGATCAAAGATTACAACTTGAATGTGCAATATCATCCTGGAAAAGCCAATGTAGTGGTAGATGCTTTGAGCAGAAAGTCACATTACTTGAATGTGCAGCCATTACTTAAAGATGGGTTCGATCTGATGCATCCTGCTGTGTTACATAGTATTCAGATTAGTTGCTCTTTGGAGAGTAAGATAATAGAGGGCCAGAAAACCGACAAGGAGATATTCCACATCAAAGAGAAAATAAAAGAAAAGCCGTCTCAGCACTTTAAAGTGGATGAATAGGGTGTGTTGTGGTTTGACGACCATCTTGTGGTTCCCAAGGATCGAGAGCTTAGGAATAAACTTATGGATGAAGCTCACCTTTCTAAGCTATCTATCCATCCGGGAAGTAGTAACATGTATCAAAGAGCTAAGACCTCGTTATTGGTGGACCAAAATGAAGAAAGAAATTATAGCATATGTTGCCAGATGTGACATATGTTGTAGAGTGAAAGCTATTCATATGAAACCTGTCGGTATGTTGCAACCTTTGTCAGTCCCTAGTTGGAAGTGGGACGATATAAGTATGGATTTTATCTCGGGTTTGCCCACTACTCAAAAGGGACATGATTCGATTTGGGTAATTGTGGACCGTCTTACCAAGACCGCTCATTTCTTGCCTGTCAAAACAGAATATCGACCACCTCAATATGCCAAGAAGTATATCGCAGAAATTGTGAGGTTGCATGGTATACCAAAGACCATAGTATCTGATAGAGGCTCACAGTTTACGGCTCACTTTTGGGAACATTTACACAAAGGCTTAGGAACTAGTTTGATTCGTAGTACCGCTTATCATCCTCAAACAGATGGTCAGACTAAACGAGTGAATGCTGTTTTGGAGGATATGTTAAGAGCCTGTGTATTGTCTTCTAAGGGATCATGGGAGTCATGGTTACCATTAGCTGAGTTTTCTTACAATAATAGTTATCAAGAAAGCATCAAGATGGCTCCATTCGAAGCTTTGTATGGCAGAAAATGTAGAACACCATTGAATTGGGTCGAGCCTGGAGATAGAAGGTATTATGGTATTGACTTTGTAGAAGAGGCCGAGAAGAAAGTCCATATTATTCAACAAAATATGAAGGCGGCCCAATCGCATCAGAAAAGTTATGTAGACAGAAGAAGGAGACCTCTTGTGTTTGAAGTTGGCGACTATGTTTATCTGAAGGTCACGCCAATGAAGAAGAAAAGGTTTGGAGTCCGGAGAAAACTTGCCGCTAGATTCGTAGGACCATACAAGATCTTGGAAAAGAGAGGTCCAGTAGCTTATAAGTTAGAGTTACCTGAGACCATGAGTACAGTCTTCCCAGTTTTCCATGTATCACATCTCAAGAAATGTTTGCGTGTTCTGGAGGAAAGAATAGAACCTCGAGGCATCCAACTCAAATCAGATTTGGTGTATCATGAGGAACCGGTCCATGTGTTAGACACTAAAGAACGTGCTACTCAGAATAGTGTGATGAAAACATACAAGATACAGTGGAATCATGATGATGAGGGAGATGCAACTTGGAAAACGGGAGAATATCTACAAAAAGCTTATGAAGATTTTTATAACAAATGGTTCGTAACCCAAATCTCGGGACGAGGTTTTTATAAGGGGGGAGGGCTGTAACACCCCGGTGTTATGCCAGCATTTAGGCACTGCAAATCATGCATATTATGCATCATCAAGCATCCTAATCATACATGCATAATCCTGTAAATAATAACTGAAACCCTACTTCAAAACATTTGAAACATGCCCGTGAAACACGAATGTTGCATACACTTGTTTAGAGTCGTGTTTGCCCAAATTATGCTTGCTAGGTTAGTAAAACATGTTTGGCTATGATTGTAAATCATCTAGAATTATTTAGCGCAAATTTTGGAGCAAATTTTGTATTCAAGTTATTGCCAAATTTTGCTTTAAAAATAACACTCCAAAATTTGGGTTTTGAGTTAAAATCGACTTTTATTTTATGATTCAAAATCTAGCAAGAATTGGAATTTGGTCATAAAAGCAAAGTTGTAGAGGATTAAATTCTAAGCAACTTTCATTTTTGGGACATTTTCAAAAGATGTCATTTTCTTGCTCAAAATGATATTTGAAAACTGGTATTTAAAAATTTATTGAAAACATAATTGAAAAAGGCTTTTCTCCTTTCGCGGGCCGCCGCCTCGCTTCTCGGCCCACGGCCGAAGCCGGCCCGGCCTACAGCAGCGCCCGCCTCCCGTGCCAGCCCACCTCTCCTCGGCCCAGCCCATCCCCGCGCGCGTCTGGCCAGCCGACTACGCTGCACCGCGCCGTTCGCCCGCGCCGCGTCCCGACCGCGGCAGAGCGCGCCCGCCGCGTGGCGGCCATACGCCTTCAACGCCCGCCGCGCGTCACAGCTGGCCTGCATCCGCTCCCACGCGCCCACCTTCATCTGCCGAAGTCGCTGCGCTCCTCTCCACTCACTCCCGCCCGCTCTCTCGCTCTCCCGTGCTCGCCCCTCCTCTCGCCGCGGCAGAGCACAGCGCCACCGCAGCCCCGCCGGCCGAATCTGCCGTCGGTGCTCCACCACGGCCAGCAATCAAGTGCCAGCAGCTCCGCCTCACTCTCCGGCACCTAGTGCTCGCGGTTGTGACTTCGTTTGAGCCAAGGTAGCGCATTTTCCAAGCTTCGCCGCCGTCAGCCATGGCGCCGCCGTGCTCGGCAGCCGTGGAACTCACCCTTCTTCCCTCCTTCACCCTTCCTTTTGGCCTGCTCGCATTCGCCAACTCCTTGTGAACCCTATGCGCTCGCCCGCTTGCCCTGACCCGGTCGGCAATGGCTGCCAGCCCGCTGGCTGAGCCGCGCCGTCGCGGCGTCTCGACGCCGGCGTGAACCCCCTCCCTTCGCCTCGGCCGAGCTGGGCCCAGTGGCCGTGGGCCGAAGCCCCGAGCCAGGCCGTCGCACTCCCCTCTGCTCGGTCTAAGCAGGCCGAGTGTGGCCGTGGGCCAGCTGGTTTCCACGGGCCGACCCAGTAGCAATAGGAAGTTTTCATTTTTAGTTTTCTTTATTATTTGAAAAGAGAAATAATTTGGAAAATGTTTGGATACTCAAATTTGCTCTAAATCTGTTGAAATAAATTTTGCTAGGTTCCTTATCACCAGATCTACTTAGAAAAATTATTGCATGTCATTTTTGAGATACTTTTCTGTAGAACTTTATTTAATCATTGATATTGCTGATAACTTGAAAAATGTGTAGAAAAACCTATAAGCTTCAGAAAAATATGATTTTTAAGTTTGTTAATCTTCTTATGTAATGTACTTCCTAGGAAAAATATGTGTCATGCATGTGCTGTAGAAAAATTTTGAGGTGTAGTTTAAGTACCTTTAATGGCTGATTTTTGTTATTTTTGATAGAGAGCAAAATGTGTATAAAACATGCATGTGATAATTTTTGTACAGTGATTAATTACTGTGAAGAACATAGGAAAAATACTAACTCTGTTGTTCGACACTTTTCACAGTACAAAGTATTTTCATCTTCATAGTCATGCCATAGCTTGTTATTTTTGTGTAGGCTAATCCACTCATTCAAATACCATGAAAATCTGATGGTAGACTACTTAGGGTAGTACTGTGCTATGGTAATTTTCTATGATTTTTCTAAACAATAAAAATACATGTTGCTATTCAAACCTATTATTATTAATTAGGGTTTAATCAAGTGTTGCTTTATGTATGATTAAGAAATTAGTAAAGCTTTGGTGTATCTTTGAAGCCTTTAATAAGATGTGTTGACTTAGCACTTCTGTCCTAAAATGATAAGAATTTCTAAAATAGAAAAATAACATACAAAATATATTTTTACCCTTAACTTTTCTTACAATAAGTGTGGTATGTAAAATATTCGATATCGTCTCAGAGGCATTTCGAATACAAATCTATTATTGAATTTATATATATATATATATATATATATATATATATATATATAGAATAATTGTTACTTAATGTTTATAAAATTTGGCTTTTTATTCAAAATACGCTTATTATTCTAGGACAGATGGAATATTATTGCATTAGTGCCTTACAAAAAGATATAAGCCTGCATAACTAAATTTATTTTAGACCATAGAGTAATTACTTTGCTAGTGGCAAGCAAAATTGACTAAATTTATATATGAGTAACAAATTTGACCTAAGCTAGACGTACATCCGTAGCAAGGCGACATATAAAATGTGGGAGCACAAAGAGAGGAACCATTAGATATATCAAAGACTTCTAGACCCAAACTTATTTAAAGCAATCTTTTTTTTACACGGGGTGCAGCAAACCTGCCACCGCTCAAGAATAATCTAGCCTGCAGGATCGAGAATGACTATGACCCGCTCTGCATATATATACCCGTACGTAGTTTTTCTATAGTTTATTTCGACATACGTGGATCGCAATAGCTAAGCCATGACATAAGCCCGACCAATTTGGCAATATGGCATTTGATTAGGGCGGCCCAGTTGCATCGTGCATTGCATCCGGCGCCCCTGCCCGGGCGGTATTCTGGTTTTAGCAAACCACTTGGCGATTCTTTATCGACGCCGATTATATTGGCGACGGAGCGTGGTCTCCACGGGGGACTGGACACGTGGCATCGCCGAATATCCAGCTGCTTGGTCACGCGTAGATGTACGGACGGTTGTTACTGTTACCTTGTAGCGCTCCTGTCGTTTCCTTCTGCTCCCCTCCACGTCGCCCATGCTGGAAGTTTCCAGGTCGCTCCCGGAGACCCGGACTCCCTCGAAGAGCCCGTCCCCCATCCGTAGAAGAGCCCGACACAGAAAAAAAAAAAATCCTGATTCCTCGAACCAGCATCGCCTCCGGGACGAGGGGCGCCGCAGCGGCCCCGGCCCCGGCACCTGCTGCGACGCATCTCCTCCTCCTCGGCTCCTCTTCCCGATCCACATCTCCCCCGGCGATGTCGCCACCACCGCGCGGCACCCCGCAACCTGCCTCCGACGAAGCCGCGGTGACGACGAGGCCGCCGAGCGGTGCCGCAGCGGCCCCGGCCCCTACTGCGACGCCTCCCGGCACGGCACGCTGCGACCGGACGACTCGCCTGGCCCGCCTGCGCCCTCCGAGGCCGTGCGGCGTGGCACTGCACCACCGCGCCGGACCACCTACCTGGCTGCGCCCTCGGTCCGCCCGCGGCCACCGCCGGACCGCCGACCTGATGGCGCCCTCAGCCCGCCTGCACCCTCCGCCGGCCGCACAGCGCGGCACCGCGCCGCCGCCGCCGCGACGTGCCCCACCAACAGTGGACAGCATGGTGCTTATCTCTCTCCGATCTCACTCATGGATGATGCACACCACGTGATTTGCCTCTACAACGATTTTGGTTCCCAACCAAATAACCATGCTCAAGCTTTTTGCAGGAACAAAGATGCAGATGCACATATCTACATCTGACAAGGAGTCCTATAGGTCCAAAGAAGCAAACAAGAAGCACAAGGTACCCTTGCTCAAAAGTTAGTTCAATGTTTCTGTGTGCCTTATTCAGGTTGACGGATATATTTTCCATTGCAAAAACATGTTCTTAAACATACATTTTAGGATCAATGACTGCAAAATGTTCATGTGCCTTTGCAAGGTCAAAGTGTGTTTCTGTGCACTTAACGAACTTATGTGGATTTTGGCATCTGAGGGTTAGTCAGAATATGTAGATTTCATCTCCTATTTTTCGAGAATGTATATGCATGAATCGATTAAGATATTCGGTTCATACGTGATCTTTGTTCTACTATGTTAGCCTCAACCCTTGACTTCATGACCTATATATATCTAGCGGCTTAAAAAATGCATATGCCCATAGTACAGGGTGCTCAGGAAGCAATGTGAATGTTTATCATAGTGTTTTGTAGCAAACATTAACTGCTACTCTCTTGTTTTGGTGACTACATCCTGATCCTGTGTGCTCAGAACAATTGTTGTTCCTTTCTTCAGTGTTGTCCCACACAAATGAGTACTCCTTTTCAATTGACCTGCAGGTGCTCAAGTGGCTTACTAACCTGCAGATTTCATATATACTGTCGACCTCTTTTTGCCCTACGTATGCATGCTCCTCTACCCGCCTCTATCATCTATGCAGTACAAGAACAAAACCAGGACTTTTGTGTTTCTCAATAGAGAACAATTTTTAGCCCATCCTGTTATTATGGCACTAAAAAATGCTACGTATTTCATTGCATTATTGATCCATCGTAGTAAATATAGTTCATCAGAGTTCTCATTCCTTCATTTCAAAATTTGCTTTAGAGCGCATCATATATATATTTTTTCATTTACTACATATATGTTTCTGCGCTTTGACTACACAACTTGCTTTCTTCATCATGCTGCGTTGAGACTTTTTAAAAAAAAAAGAGATTACTCACACGAGGTGCTTCTTTTGGTTAATTGCTTCTACGTGACCTAAAAAGGCCAAATAATACCTATTGCACTAAGCATGCTGATATATGACTGTGTTATGTAGGATCTAGATGACCAAAGCATTCTTTGGAGCACAAATACAGGGTCTACAATAACAGATGAACAGGCAAACTACGGAGAGCACAGAGCATGCCTATTCGCTTGCTCGTATACGATCGTGGATTATAAGCTGGAGTAGTATTTTTCTCTCACACCAAACCAGCCAGCAGTAAATAATCCACGATCGTTTACGACGAAACGAACATGCTTTGTTCAAATTTTTTATTGTGCTTTAGGAAAACGTGTAGCATAATAGCTAACGTTCACGTGCAAACTAATTTTGTATGGATTTCCATGGGACTTCGAAGCTGAGCAAAACTGCCACTCCAGGAATTGGCGTCATGCAGATCAACTTCCTCAGGTTCCTGCCTTGCACGTCGTAAAATTTTAGTTACAATTACATATTCTCTCTGTTGTATTGACATTATGTTGACATCATGTACTGTCTTCACAGGTGTCATACACGACTCGCTCAAAAGTACATGGTCTCGCTCAGGCACAGGGAAAATGCCATAAGAAAGGATAGCACATTAGGCCTCCTTAATGTACCTTTTCAAAAGACTTGAGAGTTTGATGCACATACATTGTTCATGCAAAGATGAAAAGCATTGTGTGCCTCATATATAATCATAAGATATCCTATATATCTAACACCGTGGTGCCCATGCACAATTGGGTACCCAAAAAAAAACTTTTCTAGGTAGTTTATTGTCGCAAAGTAGTATGTACTATCATTGCATAATTTGAAAATGTTCTTGCAGCTTAATTGCATCGCATCACGGAACAGACGATCTATTGAGTTACATCTGGTATTTACAAAGGTTACTAAGGAGTATTCATATCCCACTACAAAATTTCCACTTCTTTTGAATGCATTTTTTTCCCTTCCCTATAGACCCCTGCACCGCAGCGAAGCGCGGGGGGGCAACTAGTATATGTTGATTTGAATAGAAAAATTGGGTAGAAATGTATACCACAACGATGCTAGCTGTGAGGAACTGCCTCAGGATCATGCATGGGAGCCAGGCTGGATTCACGCATGAGAGAGTGCTTTGGTCCTCCAAAATTTATAAAAAAAATTTCCTAATTGTTCCTTCTAAATTTATGTAATACGGAGTAGTTCCTATCATTTGATGTTTGCGTATGGCAGTATCATAAATCCAGGGTAGGCTCTCGCGATGTCTTTGTAAGGTATGTACGTCACCCAGTTTTTTTCCATTCGACCAATAGTAAAAGCAATGTATCTAGAAAACTGAAACGTCTTATAATCTAGAATGTAGGAAATATATTGATCTGATTTGAGTATGAGAATTCAACTTTGAGAGGGACTAGCTAGAATATTTAGATGACTGGATAAAAGGGTTGTGATAAATACGTCTTGCATACATGGGCAGCTATATATATATATATATATATATATATATATCTTAGGCCACATATTGACATGTATATATGTTAGGTTAACGACTACCTCTCTCTCTCTCTCTTCCTATACTATAACATCATTATGGAAGAGTGAAGTTGCACCTAATATGAGTGGTCCAAACCTTATTTAGCTTGTTCGGCTGTTCTTCTCTTGCCTTGTTTCAGCTTATTCTTTTTCACAGAACACTATTGAATCATCCGGAACCATCTGGTACACAGTGCCCCTACCTACCAGCCGAACACCCTGATTACCCACTACCTATCTCTTCTTTCGTTGATCCATCCACTACCTCATTAGATCTGATACTCCTAGTTATGAGTAGCAGTCATCAGATCTTTGAAAGTTTATTACGAGTATAACCCAAGCTTGCACCATATCAAGAGCAACATAGTTGAATCGTGTATAGAAAACCCTAGATGACGATGTTAATGCAACCACGACGAGAGATTACGATTATAGCGAAGACGACCACAAATTCTATAAGCACAACTCCAAAAGTGTACAAGTGATTGGCGCTCTCTCATAACCCTACTTCACCCTCTAGGACTCAATTATTCTTACCCTATACAAGAATCTAGTGCAATAGAACTTCTAGCCTAATCCTCTTGAGCACGCCTAATTTCTCCTTACAAGCCTTGAATGAGACTCTAATGTTGGTTTGGTTGATGCCTATGACCTCTACACCCTTGTTTATATAGTCCCTTTTCCAAGACCACTACTCATGCAAGTAGGAGTCCTACTGGCTCCTAGTAGGATTCTACGCTCAAGTCATAATAGAACTAGAAGTCCTAACATATCATCACTATTGAGTCCTATTACAAGTAGGATTTGAGCCACCATGCAACATCTCTTTCTTCATGTACTCCAATGGTACGACCAAACCAACTCGAGTGGATGCAGTCTCGACCAATTTGAGCACACATACAACTATGAAATACTCGAGCACATGCAACTCTGACCAACCAGCGATACACACCGTAAACAAGATCGTCGTGTACGCATGCCGTGGGCATAGTTTTTTTCTAGCTCCAAGCTCCCCAATGGTGGATGGTAAGTGTCCAAAAATCTGCAAGATTGTATGTGGCTGCATTGTGTGGCCATAGAAGATCACAAGGACGATCAACATAGCGTCCCATTGTTTCAAGTCAAGTGTCCCATTCTCAAGGGAATGCCTGGAGTTTATGAGACATAGTGCATTTTCTATGGGTGGCCCACACATAGCTCACTAATGGGAATGTGTTCAAAATGATTGTCTTAATGATGGACGTCATTAGACTCCTTTAACTTCTCTGAATGATTCTCCTATGCTACCATCTCCATCCAATGATCAATCATGTGGGTGGGTAGTTGCCCATGTATGCCTATAAGATTAAGGTGATCACCCATGAGCACTCGAAAGGAGCCCGCAAAGCTCAAGGTGCCTATAAGATTACATGTTTTTAACATTCTAACTATGTGCAAAACGACAAATATCTTAGCTTGTGTTGGTGTTGAAGCTCGGGCGAGCGCCTAGGGTCACCGGGCCCTAGGTCCACCACTGCATGTACGTAAATATTTTACATTGTAAAGGTCAATGTAGATTTGATTCTATTTCATGTGTATGCATGTTCTATCACATAGCTAGCTAGATCAAACACCTATGAGGTACATAGGAGATTCACTAAACAATGCAATATGCTTTTAGTATAAAATTGTTTAGGTCCAACTTATTAATTTGGATCATGCCTCGAACACATTGCAAGCTCAATCGAATTGACAAACAACTGACTAAGGTTACTTTGTGTTCATGACCAAAAGTGAACCAATTTGGTATTCCATACCAAAACATTTGGTTTTTGTGAATACCATTTGGTATTCCATACCAAAACATTTGGTTATTATGAATTTTTTGAGAGGAATTAGGGTTTTGCGTTAGAATTGTAAATATACCAACTTCTAACAGAGGTTAAGATTGCTCGACCAAGGTTGATTGTGGGTATCCAATTGATTCAACATTGTATATTCCTTTACCTTTTATCTCTAAACCCTAATTTTCTATATTTTGTCTTTGTATCTACACTGATTATTAGTAGCATCTTAGGTAACTCTATCCATCGATATCCTAGAGAAACCCTAAGTGCGCCAGTCCTAATGGGATTGCTCCTAGGCATGTGTTCATCAATATTGGTTCTCGACGCATGCCTTTGAAAACTGGATGGCTCAGTTTCTAAAACTAGAGGATCCTATTTATGTGAGTTTGCGGCAAGGCATAGTTCATGGGTTCACGGACAATGTTAAGGTGTTTGACACAATCTTGTGTCATCACTTTGGAAGTGGAAATTTTCCAATTCAAGTAAATAATGAGGTAGTTATTTGCTGTGAAATATTCATATGC